TATAACCTAGACAAATATTTTTAACATATCAATGAAAAATATTTACTTTCCTATTACTGAATAATTAGCTTACAGTTAATAGACAAACTTATCAAATCTATCTTGCATTATTCCCAAAACCTAACTTTACTATTTTATATACAATTTATAACGACATGTAATCAGTACACAATTACGACACAATGCAAAAATCATTAGCAAACAATTCAATTCAATTCGCGGACAGTCATCTCTATCGCATCGGACTCTCGCTATTCAAACCCCTGTCACCCGTCCGGAGGCGCGCATACAATCACCCGTACGTTATATTTGCATTTCTAACCCATTTACTGCTCAAATGTTTGTTATTTATTATACATCCCGCTCACAATATGACCGACGAGTATCACCTCTATTGGGGCAATTTGGACCGGTTTATGGGCACCGGTATACTCGTCAACACTGTTTGCTCGTCAGCCATAATCCTATGTATTGCTATAAAACTATTGCATGTTAACCACTATTTGACGGGTTGTAAACCACGTGATTTGCGTATGTTTGACATGTTGGCCGGATTCAGGGCACCCAATAGTCTCGGGGTTAATGACAAGCAATTATTGTTTAGATTACTAACCCTTTGCCGCAAATCTCTGTCCATAGCTAGACTATCGATGCCGTTATTTATGGTAATGACGTTTGTTATTGTATTCGCTAGTTTTGCCACTAAAGTATCGCCACGCAATTTATTAATTTATGGTACACCACACGCTTTATGTTGGACAATTTATGTAATGTATTTTCTCAATATACTTTCTTATCAAACACTGTACTATTATATTCTGACCTATTACCTGAGAGGTAAATTTATTTGCCAAAATACTATTATTTATGGTGAAATAATTGCCCAGAAACCGAAAAGGTCATATCTGGATCTATTGGATAATTTAAACAAAACTATTATTGAGATAGCTGATTATAATAATCGATATTATTCAAAGTATTTGGGTATTATATGGGTAATATTAAGTCAAATAATTACACTCACTATGTACTTGGTTGTTATCAGCAAAATGTCTTTATTATTAAAATTAATTTTATTAGGGTTTAGTTATCAATATATGACTCTACTTATATTTATAATATATATTTCATCGTCTATTTATAACGAGGCAAATAAATCGTATGTTTTACTAAACCGTCTCTTACTTTTAAGAAATATTAAACTAAAATTAAAAATGAAGGTAATTCTAATTTAATATTTCTTTCAAGATAAATATATACAAATATAAATTAATATTAATTTTGTTCCACTAGATTAAAGATACGATTGAACGCTTAGCTGCACAGTGTGTTGGATTTTATTGTTTTACCATGTTTATAATTAATAAATTTCGAGGCATGGAGGTTAATGTTAATTTATTATAAATTAGATTGCAGCATGTTTTTATACAAAAATAATAATAAACTTATTTTACAGATTGCCATTATAATCGTTGTGTTATTTTTAAAATTTTTGAAGATCGCAATACAATCACGTTATGATCAGGATCAAATAAATTTAAGTACAATTGTGCATAATGTTTATATTTAAAAGTTTTCCTATGACTGCACACTAAAACTTATTACAGTTTATATAAATTTAATTTTATTACGAGCTGTACATTCACATTATAATATTAAATTATATACAGAAATTATTACTATTTAATTATAGTTGGACAATCACACCTTAAAATTTTGTTTTTGTCAATTAAATTAATTAATTACTCTCTAAAAAATAATTTTTAATTAATTCAATCTACTTAAGATGAAATGAGTTAGTTAATTTAGTTAATTTAGAATAACACAGACTATTATTTAAAAAATTAAAGATATAAAAGCCAAATATTATTATACTATAATTTATAGTCTATAAATACTTACAAAAGAAAATATATTACAAAAATAATATTTTTTAATTTTTACATTTTTGTTTAAAGTAAATATTAAATAGTTAATTTGGTCAACATTAGTAAGTATTGATTATATTATGAACAATAAATATTATTTATAAAGACAAAATATTATTTTTTATAATTTAATCAATACTTATTAATGTAAACCAAAACTATCATATTTACTTGATACAATTTAAATTATCATGTAACTTATATAAGTATGTGCAGTTAATACGCTATCATTACAGTAGTATTACCCTTAATCTCCTAATCTAGCCTTATACCTCTAGACATGCACTTTTATTCGAGTTGTTAATGAAATAGTTTGTTTATTTTATCATTCTATTTTAATTTTTTAAATAGTTTAGTAACTAATTAAGTATTATATGTATTAATTCTGTTGTATTTTTAATATCAAACCATGTTTTTAATCCACTGTATCATTTCATTTGTATCATCTCATTTAACGTTAATTATCATTAAATTATGTAACAATTGTAACACTTGTTTTGTACGTTAAACTAAATACTTGTCTAAATACAATGAAACTCTGTAAGAAATGATATGTATAAACATTGCAAATAAATTGTTCTTATATTTAATTACTATATAACTTAATAATTACTCAAAAATATCATCATAATTCTGCCAAGATTTAAAAATTTGCTGCCATTATGCCAACAACCATCCCAGACATCCCTCACATAACAACCCCTCAGGACATCGACATCGAGATCGGTTGGTGTGACACCTGTGCCATACCATCTATTGTGTTGATCACAATCGGGGTATTAATGATAGTTATTGGCACTTATTTCTGGGTAAAAGAGGTCCGCCGACGGCATAGTTTTGTCAACACTAACAGCAGCCAAACTCATTGAAAATCTATTCACTTTATTTATAAGTGATTTAATGTATTTTATTATTAATAATTTAATATAGGTAAATTATTTTTGCTATTATACATAATGAAAAATCTTCATTTGTATAATATCTGTGTCCAAATATAATAAATGGACTATCGTGGATTTACACAAATTAACTATCATAAATAGCCAATTGAATAATTTTTAAGATATACATAATTAAATGATGATACATAACAATGTGATGAGCTGTTTGTGTAAATAATACATAATAATTAATTAATCGACTTTACTATATATTAACAATAGGCCTGGTGCACTTTTGGTGCACAAATAGTTTTTATTCATTTATAATGTGCACTAATATGTGGTGGGGTTTAACAAAATTTTGTGATTCATATTTATATTAAATACAAATGATTTACGCTTTAAAGCCATTCACTTATTTTGAGAGGGCAGGCAATGATTAGTTTAATAGTAACCTTTATTGTGTATCACAATTCATTATAAATAAAAATTCTGCCGGTTCATACTATATATTAATTGTATTCTTACTTCATAAGAGCGCCAATAATTAATTGTAAAGATTTTAAAGCACAAAAATCCAAACTTTTCTCAGACATCCATTATTCATATTAAATATACAAATTAATATTTGCCAAAATTAAATGTTATTACAGAATTAAATATATACAATTGTATGTTTGCAATTATAAGCGATTGGTGATAATAATGATCACTATGATTTTGAAACAAAATTCATTAAGTCCATTAAGTTTATTAATTTGAGTAAAAACATTATAATAACAAATTAATAATTAAAATGTTTACCGCAATTTTTCTATTTAGCTAAGGAGGGAAATATCTTTGGTGGAAATTGCCAACCCTATTGATAGTGGTATGTAAACGTGCATAATTGTTACCAGATGTTTAATCCATGATCAAAATCGGCGAATGGCCAGAGACGTCAAAGTACTGGTCAATTTTCAAATCACACGTCTATTGCTTATAGTATTACATTCATGTGATCGACCATTCATTATGTAAATCACCTTTTTTCAATGCTATAAGCAATAGACGCGTAATTTGAAAATTGACCAGTACACTAACGTCTCTGGCCATTCGCCGATTTTGACCATGGATTAAACATCTGGTAACAATTATGCACGTTTACATACCACTATCAATAGGGTTGGCAATTTCCACCAAAGATATTTCCCTCCTTAGGTATAGTATAGAGTATAAGTACGAATAGGGCTGTCACTACAGCTCCGGCACATCTGTTCATACCTTCTCTGGTATTGCACTCACCATAAGAGGGAAGCGCTGCTCAACGAAGCGATTCTATTGGTCGGCAACACAGTTGTCCTCAACCACGAGAATCAGGTACTTGTGTCCACTCACTCACCACTTCATTATCTGCTAAACTAACTGTGCGTTTGATTACAGGCGCTGTTAGAGTCGGGCCAACGGCCGACTGTCGTCCAGCAGTTGTGTTCGCTGCCCATCGAGTACTTCAGCGACGATCGACAGTCACGTGTCGGCGGGAGTCCGACCGCCGGCCAACTCTCTCGGTATGGCTTTTGTAGTGGTATTTGAGGTTATAATAAGTTTTGTGTTTTACAGCCGAACAGCGCCTGACGTTTGCGAAGAGGTTTCCGAAGAATCGCTGGAATGAAGCGAAGGACTACTTCGAGGCCCAGACAGAGGCCGACCCATAGGTGTTAATCATAAAAACATCCAACAAATCAATTGTGGTACTCAACACACTCTGACCCTCACAAGTGATAGTCGGGTCTATGCCTGGGGTCGGAATAATTGCGGACAAATTGGTTGTGGAAATTGTGACGATATTTATACACCGATTGAAATACAATTCACTAATAATTATAAAATACAATCCATTTATTGTTGTTATTGCTTTTCATTTGCCATCACATCTGATGGACATGTCTTCAGTTGGGGTCACAGTAGAGACCATGAATTGGGACACAATATAATCAATAATAACGTATTGAAACCCCGATTGATATCAAACATAGAAACTGTCAAAACAATAAGTTGTAGTGGTTTTGAAACATATTTTCTGACAACAAATGGATTATATTTTTGTGGAATATATTATGAAAGTAATAAACAACTGCTTGAAAAAACTCCGAATCAAATACTATCTGAGCATCACTTCCAAAAATTAGGACAAATTAATTCATATATTGATGCGGATTATTATGAATACATTTATGTTTTAATAAACGATAAAATATACAAAATATCAAATGAACACAAAATAATTGAAACAAATTACAATAATTTTATTTACTTTTACGCCAATGAATACCAAATAACTTATAAATTATAAGTTATAATACAATTAATTTGAAAGAAATGAGTGATAAGTCAAGTAATGGTAAGAATGAAACCAAAGTTAAACCAATACAACTGATGGCCAGTCATAACAAAAGTATAATAGACATGATAGCAAGTGATAGCAATTTTAATTAAAGTTTAATTACAATAAGTTTATACTGTAAATATTGTATTTATGTTACGAATAGACAAACAGACAATCGCTACTAGACGTGAAATTCTTGAACCACAACAGCAACAGTCGGGTCCCTCCATAAGCATCAATGATAATTCACAACATTGTAATAAACATGGTAGTTAACTATTGATATTTAGAGTTATTAATAATTATTTAACAGATGACTACAATTCAAGTGATGGTAATTTCAAAACACACTTCTTTGAGTTGGAAGAGATAGGTTCGGGTGGTTTTGGGACTGTATTTAAAGTAAAGCATA